CATTAATGAATGGGCCAGCTGCTTGATCACCATGTGTGATGTGTCGTTGTAGGATTTTGCATGTAACCATAAATTCTTTGTGCTTCATTTCCTTTGATTTGATTGAAGATAATCCGCTCTCATGCTCATTAATGTAACACCTTATCGAATGTCAGCATGCTTTTGATGTAATCAAGATTATTTCCTTCTGCATGGCTGAATTCGGATAAATACTCCATATTTTATTTCATGATATTCGTTGATTGATTTGACCCTTCAGTCTTGAGCAATATCTGTTCTTCTTGGTTTTTCAGATAGCCCATACTTAGAATAATTTCCTGAATTTTCCTGAAACATTTGAGGTGTTCCAAGTATAAAATAAACTGGGAGCTGGTGTTTCAAACGAACCTCTTTCTATTTGACCAGGAGTTCTGTTCCTTGACAGAACTGCTTTTGGTGTTCTATTCATCAACAGAAGCTTGAGGTATTTTGTTGATTTCGGTAGGCGGCCAAAATTTTCTGAAGGATTCAGTTTTGCTGCTTTTCCTGCTGACATCGTCCTTCTTCTTTCATTCTTTCTAGAGTTTCTGGTTAATCATAACTAATTTTCCTTTTGAACGTCTCCTCCTGTTATCCAGAACGTTGACCGATCTCTGCCATATTGATTTGTTTTTATTGAACAAATCCCACCTGATCCTCAGAGTTAGTCAAGTCATCTGGTTTCTAGACTTTTTCAATTGGAGTTGATTAGTTTGCAATTGAAGCCTAGAATACTCATGAAAGATTAAGAAGCATTTTAGCAAACATTTCTTTGAGAGTTTGCTAGTGCCTTTTCATCACTTATCTTCATCTGAATAACCCTCAATTCTGCTGGTTGAGCGTATCCTCTTGAAGCTTTTTGAACCTTCCCCCTGTGTTGATGATTGAGTCCTTTTGACTTGTAAACTTAGAAATGGACATTCTTAGGACACTGGTAGTAGCATGATTTAGCTTTTTAATAGGGTGCTCCTAAATTAGGACAGTGCTATTTAGTAGGTTGCTCCTATTTTTAATAGAACACTTGCAAGTAGCTCTTTTTAAAAACAATACTCTACAAAATATAGTAAGGTGCTCCTTTTGAATTAGAGTCCATTCCTTAAGTTTTTATTGAGGTGAAGAAGTTCCCCCTCAATCTGTGATATTCTTCTCATAAGCAAGATGAACATAATAATGTTTGCCTAAAACTTTTGAGTAGTTCCCCCTGAGTTGTATGTCCTTCAATTGATATGAAATGATGATATCAATTGATATTTTACTATGATGAGGAGGAGTACCTTTAGGGTTTTCTGGCATATATATTCCTTCTTCAAGGTTGTTCAGCATTTAAGCTCTTGCCTTTGAGAATTAGATGTGTTAGGATCCTTTGTTGTCTTGAAATATCTCATTGTTGTAGACATCATCAAAATCTACCTTCAGTGCAATGTGATCCTAACAATCTTTGTGTGATGTTGTTGATGCTTGTTCAGTCCTTCTTTGAATAAGGCCCTTCTGATTGGGATTGAACATCATCTGATACATCCACTTATACCTGGTGGTTGGAGAAGAAGATCTTTTCAGCTAATTCCTTGCCAGTAGTTTTTCAACAAGCAACTTGGAGCTTACTGTCTTGAGAACATCTTCTTTCCAGTGAGCACATCTTTGATGACATTCTTTAGAACATAATGTCTTCTTCTGTCATAGACTGGCGTGTGCTCAATAGATAATTCTTTAAATCATTAACATAAGTTGTGTTAATGATCTTAGAATTTCATTTTGTTTATTTCCAGTCTTGACCTCTTTATTCCATTCAATACTTCCATCATCTTTTTGCCTTGTTGGTTCTTCCTCTCCTTTAAGTGCAGTAATACCACTTATGATACCATGAGAAACCCACAATAGTCTTTTGATATTCATAAACACCAGTTGTCACTTGATGAATAATGAAATCATTAGATCTTTGTTTGTTTCATGATATTGATTTCTCTCTTCTCCCTTTATATCATTGAATCTCTTTTGAACCTTCGCTGATCCCTTTGTGGACTGGTTGACTTCCCAAAAATGTTGTCAGCTAGAAGGGTGTGTGATAGATTCTATGGTATGGGAGTAAGGGTAAAGAGGGTGTATGATGATTTGGAAATATATAGTTGGTTACTGGTCCATTTGTTTATGGAGTTGATATGGATAATGGATGGACCAGTATGTGTATTGGTTTTCTCGAGGTCAGGGATAGATTTGATAAAGTCATATTCAATGCCAATCCAGTGATCTTCATTTTTAATGAACGGAATGAGATCTCTCAGTTTTTATTCCTTATAAGATTGTTGATGCTAACAATCTTTGTGTGATATTGTTGATGCTAGTTCAGTCCTTCTTTGAATAAGGCCATTCTGATTAGGATTGAACATCATCTGATACATCCATTTATACCTGGTGGTTGGAGAAGAAGATCTTTTCAGCTGATTCCTTGTGAGCAGTTTTTCAGCAAGCAGCTTGGAGCATACTGTCTTGAGAATCTCTTCTTTCCATTGAGCACATCTTTGATGAGATTCTTGAGAACAGAATGTCTTCTTCTGTCGTAGACTGGCGTGTGCTCAATAGAATTTTCTTTAAATCATTCACATAAGTTGTGTTAATGATCTTAGAATATCATTTTGTTTATTTCCAGTCTTGACCTCTTTATTGCACCCAATACTTCCATCATCTTTTTGCCTTGTTGGTTCTTCCTTTCCTTTAAGAGCAGTAGTACCACTTATGATACCATGAGAAACCCGCAATAGTCTTTTGATATTCATAAACACCAGTTGTCACTTGATGAATAATGAAATCATTATATCTTTTTTTGTTTCATGATATTGATTGCTCTCTTGTCCCTTTATATCATTGAATCTCTTTTGAACCTTCGCTGATCCCTTTGTGGACTGGTTGACTTCCCAAAAATATTGTCAGCCAGAAGGGTGTGTGATAGGTTCTATGGTATGGGAGTAAGGGTAAGGAGGGTGTATGATCATGTGGAAATATATAGTTGGTTACTGGTCCATTTGTTTATGGAGTTTATTAGAATATTATTTTATTGTGTTCAAAATAATTGTAATTTAATTAATGAGTCTTTGTAATAATTAGATTAGCTGAGAGAGAATTAGGCCCATTTAAACTAGCTCTAATAAGCCCACACGCACGCCTAAGCTGTATCCTAATTGTATTTGGCAGTTCGAACATCTCTCCTATAAATATAGGTTGAGATGGCCGAAAACTGCTAAGCCTCTACACATTCTGTTTCCGCATATTATTCTCTGTAGAGCCAGTGGATTAGAAATTCTCTCTCAAGCTTATTCATTCGAGTACCGTGTATTGTTCTTCATGGATCCATCATTATATATACATGGTATACGTTATTGGTGAGATTTCTCTTTTACTGTTTAAATTATTCATAGTATTCATAGATTAATCGACTGTTAAAATCTGGGCATACATCAAACAATTGGTATCAGAGCCTCGGCGCAATTCTGTTCGTGTGATTCCTTGAATTTTTCTGGAATTAATTTGATCAAAAACACAATTTTTGGTTGAATTAATCTCTAGTTCTATTCTTGGAAACTTACTGTTTTAGAAGGCTGTTACAATAAGGAAAAGATCACGGAGAAGGATTCTAGTCTGAGTAAGTTACTAAATCTCGCATTATGGAAATCCTAATTTCGGTTATCCGAGATTCTTCAATTCAGGTCATCCGAAATCAGGTTCTCATCCTCAGAGTTCGGACTTCACCCGAAATCATATAATTTAGGTGGACCGAAATCATCATCTGAAATCCAGATTTCAGCCTTGCATCCGAATTCAGGCCTTCCGAATTCACAATTTCGGACACCTGAAATAAGCCAATCCGAGTTTCTAATTTCGGACGAACGTATTTCGGACGCACATATTATTCATCCGAGTTTCTAATTTCAGACGCACATATTATTCATCCGAGTTTCTAAATTCGGACACCCAAAATCTTTTTCCAAGATCTGAGTCCGAAATCTTCTTTAAAGCAGTATCGGAATCCTATTTCATCTGAACAATTCTCGCCTTAAGATCAACAACAGTCATGAAAGCTTATATCCTTGGAAGTGACTCCAGACCTCCTTTGCTAAGAAGAGGAGAATTCGCTGTATGGAAAGTCAGATTCTTGAACTTCATAAGAAGGAGGGAAAACGGGAAGAATATTCTCAAATCTTTGGAAGAAGGACCCATCGAGGTCTGGGTTTTAATTCCTGAAAACACTACACTTAATCCTCTCACACCTGCTCAAAGAAATGTGAAAAATGAAGAAGACTACACTGAAGCTGAAAAACTCAGAGCCAAAGCTGATCTTCTATCTGCCACTTATCTGCTCCAAGCCATCCCCAATGATCTGTTTATGCAAATTAATGGTCTTACCACTGCTAAAGACTTATGGGATGAAATCCATCAGATCATGCAAGGCACCGATGTTGGAATCAAATCCAAAAGAGCTCACACCTTGACTGCTTACGACTCCTTTGCTGCTAGATCTGATGTGTGACACCGCACCCGGATGTACTTGAATTTGAAATTCAGTATGTATTTGAATTTTTCTAGCGAATGATTTCGTGTAAAAATGATATATTTAATTAATGAATGATTAATTAAATTACTTATGGGGTCCATAATATTGAGAATGGTCTACCAAATTTTTAGTTGGGTCATCATAATAATTATAGAAAGCCCAATAAAATGCCAACTAAGGTTGAGGAAAATGATTGGGCAGCCCGAGTGCTATTTTGACCCAACCTGCCAAAAATAGCAGGGATAATTGGGAGGGACTTCCTATACCCAATTGGGGATTTTTCCCACAAGTCTTGTAGACAACAAATAGTGTAAATGGGACATCAAAACATGGGAGGGGCGGACTATTGAGTGAGGTGATGTGCAAGACAAACACCCACACTCCTATGGCCCTATCTACATGTTATCTTGCTCCCAATTGAGAGGGATATCCATCCCCTTCCATTTGCACCATACGAACAAGCAAAGAGAGAGAGAAGCTCTAGGATAAACCTCCCACAAAAGCTCTAGCTTGAAGGAAACAAGGGGGCAAAGAAGCTCAAGAGAAAATCGCTTGAAGAGGAGGTAAGAACACAAGTATTGTTCTTTAACTAGTTTTATTGTGTATGATTTTTAAGAAATCATAAAATGGATTAAACGTGATGTTCTACATATTTAAAAGTGTAGAACATTGATATATAGTGGTGATATTTAACTTAGAAGAGTTGGTGAATCGATAGGAGTTGAAATCACCGGAAACCGCCAAGTATAGCAGGCTGCTCGAACCTGCAGAACACGAACACCGGGCGGCTTTTGTGAAAGCCGGGCGGCTTTCAGCTGCTGTCCAGGATTCTTGGCTTAATCAGCCAAAAACGGGGGTTGATCTAAGGACTTCGCAAAGGCAACTAGTTGAGCACATCATAAGGTGAGGATGGCTGACTATGTTGCTTATAATTAGTGAGTTAATTTCATGAGATTACCTAAGGTAATTAAATGTATTTTCTATGGATTATTAATGATTAATAATGCCTAAGAATGAGAAGAATATTGTCCATAAGAAAGGAGCATGATATACAAATTTAGGAATAAATTGTGTATGATCATGTGTTTTGAGTATGTTAACTTGATAATGGAATTAACTATGAAATGCATGTTGAAATATACTTTTTACTTCATATAAGAATATATGAATGATTAAAAGTGATATTTTGTGTATTGATATAATGATGATATTTTCAATGGAAAATCAGTGGGGCATTCTATAAATGACCATGAATAGAGAACTTGATTTTGTTGGAATTAATTGGACTAGCATTGATATACTAGTTGGACATTAAAGTGAAATCTTGCTAAAATTGATTCTAAGGTTGGGTTGTGAAGTATTATGCCTTAAGTAGTCTTAAGAGATGCTTTATGGTAGGAAAGTATGAACTTTAAGTCATACTAGGGGTAGGCCTTAAGGGATACCCAAGATAAATTGAATAATAAATTGATCCTAGGTATAGGATTGGCCTACGGGCGTGTTCAGTAGTCCTTGAGGATAGCCGGTTGAATTATGCGAATAAGTAAGGACCATGACCCTTCCCGACTCTAGAGAGCGGGGTTGGATATCATGGACTTGGATTGTGATCACGGGTTAGGGTGGAATCCGAATCGGAGACCTAACTAAGCTTCGGTAGCGGTAACACATAAGATAGGACCCCGAAGGGCCTTACCCTCCTACGGGATGATGGGTATGAGTCGAGGGGCGGGATGTTGAAATCCGAACCTAGAGCCTCATGAGGTCTCGGACAGCGGTAGCAAATCCCGTAGAAATAATAAGACCCACAGGTTGGGTTGTAAAAATGATGAATGAAAAGGAATACATAAGGAGGTCCGTGTGCCGACAGATAAATGAATTACTTATTATAAAGATAATAAGTGGGAAATATAAATTATTATTTATATTATGATATCACCCTAATTTTAGGGTCTTAGAAATTAAAACATTGATTATACTCGGTATATGTGACACTTCAAAAATTTAAATAAAAATAAAAATAATTTTTAATCAGATAAAATATTACGAAAATAACAATTTTAGAATTAATTGAGTCAGACAAAAATTCAACAGTTGTAACATTCTAATCAGATAAAAATTTCAAAAATTATGATGCTTTAGTCAGATAAAAATATTTCAGTAAGAAGAACAACATTTTATTAAACCAAGTGAACCAGACAAAAATTTAGCATTTGTGACATTTTTAGTCAGATAAAAATGGTCCGATAATAGAAGTAACGTTTTAGTATAAAATTAGTTTTTTTTTTATATATAACTATTTTAAGTGGTATAATATACAAAGTACAAAATGAGTGTAATATACATATATATGTACACGTAAACAAATCTAAGTAATACTATCTATATATTAATCAATATGTACTACGTATGCTCCTAATAGGTAATATATATACATACTCCTAGATAATAATAGTAAGTATTAGTATAATATTATAACTCTACGTACAAGAAGAACGAAGGAAACGAGTTGAACTCCAACTCTATTTCCAACCTACAGAGCGGAGATAAGAACGGAGCTGTTCAAATTTAACTCAAACTCTAACACAGCCCGGAACCCTCATCTTTCCCTATAAATAATAGCCTAGAATCTGTGACTTTATTCATCCCGACGAAAATCCCTGCGGCATATATACATATATACGTATATATATATATATATTTTATTTTTACGACCCAGCGTTTTAGCCAGAAACAAGCCTTGAAAATACTTCTCAAATCTTCCCCTTCGTAATACGAATCCAACGGAAAAAGAATCGTCGAAAACGGTCGTGAAACGAGGGAGAAAAGCCTCGCCGGAGTTTCGCCGGAGAAGAAACATTTCGACGGAAAACGGAGAAAAGGGAGGAGCTGCCGCCGCCGCCGGACCACCACTGACCCTCGCCGCCCTGCTACCACCATTTTCGGCCGTTCTCTCGTCCAAACGGAGTAAGTTCTCCCCCCCCCCTGTTTTTCCCGTTTTCCGGCGAAGCATTGGGGAAGATGACCCAGCTGCTGGTTTTGGGCCTTTTTCAGGATTTGGGCCAGAAAATAGAATTTGGCCCAGTTCGGCCCAGTTGCAATAAAAATTAAAAATAAAATAGTAAATAAAATAAATAAAATCTGGAAAACTATAAATTAAATACCTAGTATAAATATACATATTCGGACCAACCAGAATTGGAAAATAAATGTTTTAGCTATTTTTAATGGATTTAATGGTAATTGGGCCAATTTATACACATTTAGTAAATAATTAACTAAATAGCGAAAATAATTATGAAATAAATATTGGAGTAAACTAGGATAAATATATGGCTAACTAGGACCTTATGGACCATTTATAATTAATAAAAATAAGGTTTAGTATATTTAATTGTAATTAAACCGGTTAATAGATATATGAAATTAAAGGAATAATTATGGAAAAATAATTATAAAATAGATATCTGGACAACCTAGGTGAAATATAGACCCAAAATATAGTTATGGACGGTTTTTAATTTGTAAAGTCGATTTTTAGTCTATTTATTTAAATTAGGCCATATAAAACTAGTTAAGTAATTAAATAAGGAAATATTAGTATTAATGGTGAAATAAATAAATCACTGAGGTTGAAAAATAATATTCTGGACTAAAAATAATGTTTGAATAAAATAAGGAAAATAAATATTTTCGGTTATGTAAATAAAGTAATTAGATAATAATTAGAGAAAATTAAGGGTGATTATTGAATAAAAATTGGATGTTGTAGCCAATAATATTCGGATATTTTATTTAATATTAGAATTCAAATATTTTAATTAATGGCTGAATTAATAAGGTAATTTGATTAATAAAAAGTGATTAACCAAAGTTAATGCGAATAATAAAATAAAAGGAGAAAATCGGGTAAAGTAATTACAAATAGAATAAGTGACTAATTTATCATATTTAATTAAAAAGGTGATTATCTAGAGACCGGATTAGAGAAGGATAACTAGGAGCAACAGGACTTAAGGTAAGTTTCTCTGCCAATCCAAAATTGTTTCCTCGTATTATATGCTTATTATGCATTATGTGATTAAGTGTGATTTGTGAATTTTGTGTATGTGATTTTGAGAAGATATTATATATATAGTAGTTAAGAAGTATAAATCAAGTACTTTTGGGGTATTAAATATTTTTAAATACCTTCAAGACTTTTTAGAGAAATTAAGAAGTATTTTTGAAGTATTGTTAAGCAAAGATAAAATTTACATTTTTATAAGAAGATAGCATCTCGGGAGTAATCCGAGGTGTCGGTTTTTCCACATCCGGATAAATGTGGAGGGTGATTAGAGCTACTACTACTAAGAAGTACAGTTTGGATCTATGATCCCTTTTAAGTAAGATTTGGATCTATGATCCCTTTTAAGTGAGATTTGGATCTATGATCCCTTTTAAGAAGAAGTTATAGTAGTAGTCCCTAATCATTCAAGAATTTTAGAATTGGGGTGGTTGGGTTCCGACCACTCGGGATGACTTACTACTCGGAGGGCTTGGAATCCCTTTTAGGGGGTGCACACACTTAAGGTAGTCGTTTCGTTTCCAACAGAGCAATTGTGGTACCGGCACTTGTTCGGGGTGGCCGTCCGTAACCACGGTCCACCGGGCTCAGTCGAAAGGTTGAGCACCGCCCTTCTAAATTACTAGGAAGTTAGAGAAGAAGTGATTTTTTTAAGAAGTTTAAAGAGAAGAATTACTAAGAGATTTTCCAAGAGAAGTTTAAGATTCTAGCAAAGAAGAAATTTTAGAAAAATCAAAGAGAAAAGTATTTTGGAAGAGTGCGTCATTTTTATATGATATTATATAAAAATCTATTTTTAGTCAAACCTGATTATTTTACGGGGTTGGGTAGTACTTACTTAGCTCTAAAGCTAATTTTTGTTATTTTTCTTGTCTCTCTCTTCTCCCTTAAATTTTATCAGGTGATGAGTTGGATACCTATGTGGATTGACGGATTGCTCAAGCTTGAGTGCGAATTAGAAGATGCCTTAGTTAAATCTAGTCATAAAACAATCATTTACTTATTATTACATTAGTTTTTATTGTTTTACTTTGAGTTGCCTGTGCATTCGGTTAAGAGATGACCGAATGTGGCGGTAACACTCATTTCCCTTTTAGACTTCCGCTGTATTTCTTCAACTCTTTGATGAATGAATAAAGTATTTCTTTTAAATATATCAATGTTTTGGGCGGGAAATTTAGGGGTGTTACAGTATAGTTGTCATTGTACTTGTCAAATGCTTCCAAGTACTGACCTACCCTTCACGGGGGAGGCCACCTCACAGTTTCAAGTAGAACTTCAAGGTAGCTACCACCCCCGTTGCTTCGGGGAGATCAAGGGAAGAAGACTTGGTTCGTGCTTCTTCCGTTTCTATTTTGAAAACAATTTAAATAATGCTCATGGATATTATATTCTGAATAATTATTTTGGGAGCTTGTATGACTGATTATGCCAAGTGTGGCTCGAACACTTGTATTAATGCTTCCGCTGCTTTAAATGAATGTTTTACATTATGTTTGTTTATGGATGTACTATGTGTGAATGGTATTCAAAGACGCCTTGTGAAGTATGGATGAGTTGGACTTCGAATGACTATTCGTACTGTACGGCGGGTTGTTGACGTCTCCGGGTAGGTCCGGGGCGTGACAATTTAATTGGTATCAGAGCCCTTAGTCCGTAAACATCATAATGAAGCTTCAAAATTCTTTTTGAAAAATGAATTTGAAAACCATGAGCATAAGACGTTTTGTACTTATACAACTTTTGGTACTTGAGTTGCAATGTCTCTAATTGTTAAGATGGTACCCTTAGCAATTGGTATGGCGGTGATTTGAGCCAAAAGATGTCTTTAAGTCCCCCGTCAATTGACATTTGATACGAGTCTAATGACTCATTCTCAATTTCTTTCAGAAATGGAACGTACCGGGAAAGTTACTCGATGGAACCCGACTGGCCAAGCACCGGGAGGATCCCAACGTGGAAGTCTTGGAGGATCGAGGGAGTCTAGGGGACAGGGCCGTGCAGGCCGCTCGCTGACCGTGAGTGACGGTCATGTGGAAACAATTGATGAGCATTATGAGTCCGAGGAGGATTCAACTTACCAACCGGGAACTGAGCCGGTTGAGACCCCATATGATGGGGAATACGACGATGTTGGTGATGAGAGCGATGATAATGACGCTCTCGAACGGATTGAGGAATTGCTCTGGCAATACCACCAAGATCACCAAAGGCGTCGGGCAAGGAGTGCTTTGGGAGGGGCTTCAAGGAGAGGAAGCCATGTAACTCCTAGGGAGAGCTTAGAACCCCGAGGAGGTAGAGGTGCCGAGGTTCCTATTATAAGGATCTCGAAGTACCTTAAAGAGGCAAGAGATTTGGGATGTAAACCGTTTGATGGAACGGGAGACATCTCCGTTGCGGTTGAGTGGATCAAAAGATTCAACGAAGCGGCCCTTGATATGCAGCTGCCACCCAACATGAAGTTGAGAGTGGCCACGAGACTACTAGAGGGCATGGCGTCCACATGGTGGGATGAAGCTAAAGGGAAGTACGGCGAGACCGTTGTAAGGAATAAATGTAATTAGATTTCGATGATGCTATAGGACTTTAGAAAGTACCCCTTTAGAAAGTTGTATTAGAATTTTCTTTGTAATTGTTTTTGTATAATCGACCGACAGAAGACCTCCAGACAGAAGCCCCTTTTGGCCCTCTAATGGTTGTTCCCTGACAGAAGTCCTCCTGACTCTCTGTTGAACTTCACTAGAACAGAAGTACTTAGGTCCTCTGTTGGCCCTTATCTTAACAGAAGGACTGAAGACCCTCTGGTAACTTACGTTTCAACAGAAGTGCTCATGACCCCTTCTTATTGACTACTGCTGCAGATAGCAGAAGGCCTGACACTTAGAATTCTATCTCAGCCGGTTATTTCAACGGAAGATCCTCTAACGGCTAGAATACTACAACGGAAAGCTACAATACACGCATTAAATGCTCATTTAATGCGGATTCGTACGAGAAGACATTTAAGGCGAATGATTGACCAAGAATAAGAAAGAATATCTTCTCAAAATAGCAAGTCGCCGAATTTGTGGGTCCAACCGGTCAACTCACTGCACGTGCATTAAGTGCATTGTCCTCCTCCAACGGGAAGACATCCCTAGTATAAAAGATACACTACGAAGAACAACCGGACAACTTTGCTACAACTTTGCCAATACATTGAAAATCAAGTGCTCAAGAAAAACACATTCAAAAACATTCAAACGCACAAGCCTTCTTGAGATCGAAACTTCTTCATCTTCAACAAGAAAGGCGCTTGTTAGGAAGACAGGCCTTTAATACCTTCATATCCCCAACAAGAGCAAAGTTCCATTCGTTCTTCAACACTTCAAACACTTCATCTACAAATCTTTTGTAACGAAGCTTGTAACACCCCCGAATTTCCCACCCAAAACGTTGATATAATTGAAATAAAACTTTTATTTATTGATAATGAAAATTTAAAGAAAGTACAGCGGAAGTCTTAATAAGGGAAATGGGTGTTACTGCCACATCCGGTCATCTCTCAACCGGATGCACAGGCAACTTAAACATAACAACTAATTTAATAAAAATAAAGTGTTTGTAAAGTAAATGATTATTTCATGACTAGTATAACTAAGGCGACTTCTAATTCGCTCTCGGGCCATGCAAGCAATCATCAATCGACAAAATCATCCTCACCTGCACAAATAAAGTGCAGAAACAAAACAAGGAAAAGAAAACAAAAATTAGCTTTAGAGCTATGTAAGTACTACCCAATCCCGTAAAATAATCATGTTTGACTAAAATAGATTTTTATATAATAATATATAAAAATACTCACACCATCGAAATTCTTTTCACTTTGATTTTTCTCAAGACCTTCTTCTTTACAAAAATCCTCAACTTCTCTATAAAACCTCATAATAACTCTTCTCTTTGATTTCCTCAAAAAATCACTTCTTCTCTAACTTCCTAGTAATTTAGAAGGGCGGTGCTCAACCTTTCGGTAGAGCCCGGTGGACCGTGGTTACGGACGGCCACCCCGAACAAGTGCCGGTACCACAACTGCTCTGTTGGAAACGAAACGACTACCTTAAGTGTGCACACCCCCTAAAAGGGATTCCAAGCCCTCCGAGTAGTAAGTCGTAACGAGTAGTCGGGACTCAGTCTACCAACTACCCCTGAATAAGATATCTTGAATGATTAGGGACTACTACTACCATAACTTCTTCTTAAAAGGGATCATCGATCCAAATATCACTTTAAACTCAAACTGTACTTCTTAGTAGTAGCAGACCTAATCACCCTCCACATTTATCCGGACGCGGAAAACCGACACCTCGGATTACTCCCGAGATGCTCACTTGCTATGAAAATGCAAATTTTATCTTCAATAAATAATACTTCAAAAACACTTCTCAATTTCTCTAAAAAGTCTTAAAGGTATTTAAAAATATTTAATACCCCAAAAGTACTTGATTTATATTTCTCAACTACCATATATATAATATCTCATCAAAAATCACATACACAAAATTCAACAATTCACACTTATTCACACAATGCATAATAAGCATATAATACGAGGAAACAATTTTAGATTGGAAGAGAAACTTACTTCGATTCGCAATATATCCTATTGGAAGCATTTATCTCGATCTCCGGAATCACCTTCTAAAATATTAAGATTCTAATATTAATACTTTTTACAGAGTACTCTAATAGATTGAGACTAATTAGTAGCTACGACTATTACCTCATTCCTTCGGTTAGTTCAGGATTTCTAATTCCAGCCAATTTTCTTAAATTCTTAATCAACTATACGGTCAGCCCAATTAAGTTTTTTTGAAATATAAATGACCGAGTAGTAATAAAAGAAAACAAGGATGCGAGGCGTACGTAGTCAATTGTTACTTGTCCCCTCCGATTTGGACGGAGGGCCACACACTGTGGCGGCGTTGCATTCCTCCGACGGATGTACCCTCTTCTCCAACTGTAGTGGCGGCATCTCCGGCGAGTGACAGCGGAACGGGGAAAGGCTCCTCCTCTCGGGTGAGGGCAGTCTCGTATGTGGACCTCCTACTGTACTCCGGCCAGCATACTACTGCACCGGCGAATCATCCTCCGGCTGAATCTCGAAGCTAGTGTTACCTCCAGCGGGCTACTCTTTTATTCCCTGTCGATGAAGCTACAGACTCTCCCTTAGCATGGCGCCGCATCAGCGACGGTACCGGTCAGGTTGGTGAGTCAACCTTGCTCCTCTGGTGACGGATATTTCCGGCTCGGCAATATATATGACGCATAAAGAATTAACGGCTGCAGTAACTGTTGTTCCCGGTGGCAGCAACTCTAACTTCTCCGGTGGAAATAGAAGTCGTTCGGCCGTGCCCGGAGGTTGTTCGATCTTCCTCCTTTCCTTCTTCTTTGATGTAGTTGAACATCGTTATTTATATATACGTATAATATATGTATTGGTTTGTTCATATCTTCATATGGTTTGAAGTAGGGGCGTCGGATGCTTATACTCACCCATAAAGATTCTAGAGCCTCCGTTACATACGTTATAAATAACCTTCGTATTTATTACTACACGTTTTTACGCTGCCGTTTCTCTTCGCACATGGCTGTGCGTAAAAAAAAATACTTCGTATATACATAGTGTACGCATAACTCCATAGCTATATATGGAAAAGTCAACATTTATGTATATTAAGTAAGTATACTATCGTATAGCATTATATGCTATACGTCTTTACCTATTATATTATATCACTTTGTAAAACAAAATGTTACTCCCATTATTTAGATCAAAATATTATCTGATTAACATAATTGTCATAAAAATATCACTTTCAAATATGATTAGAAAAATTTATCTATCTTATTAGTAATATTGTTTATTTTATTTTATTGAAATTTTCGGAGTGTCACAAAGCTAGTTGGAAAACCTCTGTTCTCTCAAGAACTCTTCTCTAACGAGAAGGACGTCCAAGTAACTGGAGTAGTGAAGTGGTGATACTTTTGGGAAGCTCAGCGAAAGGACCAGTCTTAAAGGAAGCCAGGAAGTGCATCCCAAGAGACATCTAGTTTTGAAGAAGATGTGGAGAGTTTCTTAAGTGCTAGGACTAAGGCATTGTAAACGGACATTTTTACAAGCTTAGTGGAACAGTGGATTAGAGGAACGAGTTGTTCCTTGAACCACTATAAAAATCCCTGGTGTCATTTACTTACTGCACTTATTTATCGTTTTTGTTTGAACTGTTTAACTCCTAAGACTTGGTCTCTGTGTTCAGCAGAACGTGTCTTGTGAGTTAACAGAAGGCCTACTACCTTTGTTTCTCTGAGGCTAATCTGACAGAACCCCTACCAGAACCCCATCCGCTGCCAGTCTGTTTTGCCAACAAAACAGGCTATTCTGTTAAATCTGGTATTTTGCTTGAAAAAGTTTTAAAACCAGTACAGTCTATTCACCCCCCCCCCCCCCCCTCTAGACTGTACCCAATATAACCGGGACCAACAACCGTCACTTGGGAGAACTTCCGGCAGGAATTCTTTAGCCAATACTACTCCAACTTCGAGGTGAATTTGAGTCAGTCTAGGAATTTTAGTGTGTTCAATTTAAGTCAGTTTCCAAAAATCCGAAAAAGCCAAAAAGATTTTACTTTCTTATTTCTCGCGGGTACTTAAGATTGGAAAATAGTTAAAAAAAAATTATTTACTCTCTCACGTTCCATCTTTCTAAAAGCACTCAAGAGTTTTGTTCATCAACGTCTCTCATCTTCACCATCTTCATTCGAGTTCTTCATTGATCATCTTCTTTAAGGTGGTTATTCTTCATTTTAAAACCTTGCATGTTAGTATTCATGGGTGTGTGAGTGTGTTTTGTGAACAGGTACACTTCAAGAATGACGACGGGGGAACCGATTCAGACCATCGAAAACCTCCCCTCGCCGACGTCAACCGTTGTCAATCACTGAAATCACTCTCACCACTGTTAACTACCAACAAAACCCCAATTTCTTATCATTAAACCTCCATAGCCACAAAGCTTAAACACCATAACCTTTCGAATTTCAATATCCGAAATCTTAATCTCGGAACCAACACCCCAGCCGAATTCCTCTTCCCGAGATCCCCTGTCCCGAAATTACAAAAAGGCCCTTCCGAAATCTTTTCCAACTCAGGCATCCGAAATCTTTAAACTACTGGGCCTCCGAAATCTCTAACCCGAAATCTTAGCCCCCGAAATCTCCTTTGTGAAAAGTCCAACCCGAAATCCTATATCCCGAGATCCCATAACCCAAAATCCCCCTACCGAAAAACCCCATCCGAGATCTTCACCCGAAATCCCCCTACCGAAGAACCTCATCCGAGATCCTAATTATCTCTAACACCCGAATTCTTTAGAAACCCAATACCCATACACTAAGTCCTTTTAAGCCCATTTAGCCCACTAACCCACGAAGCCCAAATCACTCAAGCCCAATTACCCAAAAACCAAGCCCAAATGACCCAAAGCCATTTCTCTTATCTCAAATGTTCTATTTGTGCAATTCAGGCATAATGGCATTCTTATCTGAAGAGGAAGTGTATCCGATGGAGAACTGGATTGACATTAAAGACAACAACTAATTGCTAGACCCCACCATACTCAAATGCCAAGATAAAGTGATAATCTCCATTCTCAAAGGGCATCCATTGTGGCCAACGCTCACATTGTCTGTCAAAGCCCCGAAAATCTACCTGAGACAGCTCTGGGGAACTATGCATACCACTGATAATCCCACACCCACTCTCCAAGCCACACTAGCCAATTCCACCATCACCATCACCCAAAATACATTCTGTACCCTCCTCCACCTACGCATATCATCTGAATACGACCCGTTCCCTGATAACCCAATAATCTTCTCCGACATGCTTAAAATAGGCCATCTTCCTCCT